CCCTGACATGTAAGCGGAGACCTCGCGTGCTCCAACAGAGCTTGAAGATTGAGATTCGGCTATTGCCGAATGCTCCTCACTTGTTGTAATGCCTTTGGCTAACTTTTGATAGTCAACCGGGCGAATAGCTCCTGTCCGAGTCCGAGTATTCTGATATACTCCTTCGAACTGGTCACAAATGGAGATGGAACCCCCTGCCCTTGGGTAGGTGAGATTGGTTCTTGTCGAACGTGGATTTTGAAGCCACACTGACTTTTTTGAACCTGACGGACCTCTTGAAGATCGCGTTCTTGAAGGATAACGCGAGGGTCGCGTTTAGCTTTGGAGACGTTAGGCTGAGGCCTACGTTTAAATGATGAAACTGACCCCTGAGGGTCATGTTTTGGTTGAACGCACCCCTGAGGGTCGCGTTTAGATTGAACGCGCCCCTGGGGGTCGCGTTTAAGTTGAACGCTCCCCTGAGGGTCGCGTTTGAGTTGAACGCTCCCCTGAGGGTCGCGTTTAAGTGGTGAAACAGACTCTTGAGAGTCATGTTCTATTGGAACGCGCCCCTGGGGGTCGCGTTTGGTTTTGGCAGCTCCGCTCTGAGGGCTGCGTTTTGAAGTAACAACGCGCCATTCAGGGTCGCGTTTCAGCTGTATAAGCCGAGGCTCATAGTCGGGCTCATTGCCGCGAAGTGAACGTTCTCCTTTGGGAACGCTAGGCTCGGTTGGATTTTCAGAAATGCGGTCCTCACGTTGGTTCAGCATTCGGCTCTCACGTAAGTGTGCTCGTCGTATGGATCTTCTCCGTCGGTGAGCGGCGTTCTTTTTGGCTTGTTTCAAAGCCTTAGCAGCAACGTCGTTGACGTTCACAGGGCCCGTTTCCTCTAAAGGCCGTTTGTGGCCTGAAGAACGTCTTGTTGACGCGGATGTGGGATCTTCCGCCAGCAGAGCCAGTTTGAGTTCTTGGCCGAAGGAGAGGGCTTTCTTCGGCACTTCGACAACAGAATTGACCTTCTTGGAGGTCTCGCGGGCATCGTGCTTAGCCTTTATATACTTGTTTGATTATCATTGTTCTTAAGCTAGATTTTATATTTGAGTTTAGTTTATTTGATTTGATTTACTCATTGTTACACACACCCACTTTGAGCTTATTGTATTTGCATACATAGTATAATAGGGTTGTGTTTGTTGGGAAAATTGCAAAGAAGAGAATAAAGAAAATTGACTTGGATTCCTTTGATCTCGATTACAACTTGATTACAAAAGAGGAGAGAACGAATTTGATTCTCTCCTTTGTTTAAAACTGGGTTCTTCTCGGTAGCGATGGAATGCCTCCTTCGATTGCTCGCGTCGAAATTGCTCTCCGTTGACGATCCGACCGTCTTCTATCTCGTGGGAACGATGAACTTCTGTGGAAAGTTTTATAAGTAACTCTTCAACGAGTTTAAGAACTCTGAACGAGTTAGAACTCTGTGAATAGAGTTGTTAGAACCGAAAATTCGGTTAATGATCAAGCTGTTATTCTGTTGTTGAAGAATCCTCTCAGATTTGATCTTCTGAGTTTGATTCAAAAATCCTATCTCCAAGAATTTTGCTGCTGTAGCTAACCCTTCGTGTGGTTGAGATCCTTCCGAATTCCCAAACCCGTGCGGTTCAGAGATGAAAAATCCAACCAGCTAGCCCTTATCTGTTTGAGAACTGAAAAATTTCCAACCTAAGCGGTTTAGATCTCCAGAATCTAACCTGTGCGGTTCAGATGCTAAAAATCCAACCCCGGTTTTGGAGCCGTTCAACTCATGTTTGAACGAGTCAAACGCCCATTCTGGCGTTCAGAACCCAACTTCGTGTCTTAGGATTGAGACGCGAGGTTGGGTGTTAGCTGAACACCATTGAACGCGAGGGTCACTCGCGTTTAGCTTGTTGCCTGCTTGGAAACGCGGGGGTTAGTGTTGGTTGAACCCCTATGAACGCGAGGGTCGCTCACGTTTGGCTTGTGCCTTGGAGACGCGGGGGTTGCCTGCCTTTCCATATTTGACGCGAGGGTCGCTCACGTTTGGCTTGTGCCTTGGAGACGCGGGGGTTGCCTGCCTTTCCATATTTGTAATGCGGGGATGATATCCGCGTTTCAGAAGGAGCTTTTTGACTTGTAGCTTCTTCTGTGAAGCGTTGCGAGGACCGTTGTTCAGTAATCCTGGCTTTAGCTGTTGTAGGGTATGAAAGTTGTCAGATTGTAACTTTCACTGTAGAACGTGAAGACTGCTGAATAGAGTTTTCATCAGTTGTCGGAAGTGTCGTTGAATTGTAACTCTTCTCGATCTATGTGAAAAGTACTCTATTTGCCGCTTTCGATTGTCGACCCGAAAGCTATTTGATTATAGCTTTCGTTGTGAGAGCTTGACGGGAATCAACATCCATAGTGTCTTGAAGACGAATATTTGCCCACAGCTCTCTACCAAGCAACTCACCACCTAAGTCCAACCTTTTCTTTCTAAAATCATTACACTGCTCATCAGCATCTCCAATAGTTGCTAATAATACTATTCATGCTGTTGTCGCAGCCATCAAGATCAATCATCTCAGAAGTGAGGTCGTGTTTGTGGCGATTGTGGAGTTGCGGATGCAGTGATTGGGAAGTCGTGTGACCTCCATTGTCGGAGCTTATTTGGATCAGCTATCTATTGTGATTTTTAGACAGCCTACATGCCCGCCTCACCACCTCATCCCTGGTATTATGTAAGTGAATTTGATATGATTTATAAAATTTGATTGTCTTCTCTCATTCTATGTAATTAATGAGTTATTTTGTGAGTTAGTTGTTATGATTATGTTAGGTATTAATTGTTTGGTGTTCAGGGTGTTTGATCTTGGAATTTTTAATTTAGTTGTGGGAGGTTTCGTAAATTTCAGAGGTTTTTCCTAAAACTAGTATGGTGAACGTGCGTTGCATGTGTAATAATTTTCATACATATATATTTATATATGCTAGGTTTTATACACGTGCAATGCACGTGGTTAAATATCATGATTAAGTATTTTTGGCTTATTTTCTAACTAATATTTTTCCTCAGTTCCACTTTAATAGTTTATGCTTATTTTTGTCTCTAAACTTTAAAATTACAATTAGTTATTTTCTTTCATGTTTTTTTAAATGGGCGACACCCAATTTAAATTTTCATGTTAATATTTAAATTGATAGAAAACAAATATAATTTGAAGCTAATTTGAATTTTTATATTATTGTAACTAGCATGAAACCAAGCTTTACTTTAGAAAGTACAGTGTTGCAAAAGTAAAAAATATTAAAACAATAATACACAAGGAAGATGAATATTTAAAACCAATAAAGCAAAATAATTGCTTAAAAGTATGCTAAAACGATATAAAAGAGAATATAAAGTTTGTTCCTAATCATTGATAGAGCTCATACAAATTATAAATTTAAGATTAATGCTAAATCCAATATACTTTTATATGATAAAAACATCTGCATAAGCATATAAAAGTACTAAAAAAAGCTCATGAAACTCTCTTCTAAAGATTTCTAATTTTACTCAAAATAATTAAATTATTCTATAAAATATTTAGAAAATTTTATCTTTTATTCCTTATGTTTTAGTTTTTTACTGAGCTAATATCAATCCTTCCTCACCTTTATCTTTTTTTCGGGCAATTCTAGAGTAGTATCTTCATCATTTATTCGATTATAACATATGGCTAGAGTTGTACTTTTTGTGCTATTATTGTTCCTGGGCTCATTAATCTTTTATCTTGTTGTTTAACTTCACAAATAAGTTAAATATATTTCCGATGTTCAACACAAAGTTCTTGAAATACAGACTTTAATTTTTTTTATTTCAATGAGAATAAATATTAATTTCATATATATAAAATTCTTTGTGTTTCTAATTTATTACTTAAATAAGATTAGGAGCTACCTCTTTTTTTCTATAATGAATTCTTCTGAGGTACATCCAATAAGAATTTCTGTTACGTTAATAATATTACATTTGCTCTATCCCTGTTATTTTTCATAAAGATCTAAACTAAAAATTTATATTTTTTATTGCCAATTAGGATTAGATTATAATATTAATATTTAATTTCTTTAGTATTTGAAGAACAAAGTATAAAATTTATGAATGCTTACTAATTTTTCTTACATCCTTCATGGAGAATTCTTCTTTGATTGGGGTAAAATTATTAAATAATTCTTCAATGTAACCCAGTTGATACTTCTTTAATAGACATGCCTTATGTTAATGCCAATTCAAATGATTCATGGACGTTTTCTGAATTTTATATTTATTTCCGTCACTTTCTCATTTGCAATAGAAATAGCTTGATTCTTTTGAATGATATCTCTAAACATTCTGATAGTTTTTCATACGTAATCCATTGTATTTCTTTACTATATAAATATTATTAACATCAGATATTAATATTTATAAATTATAATTAATTAATGCTAACCTATTAAATTATAGTTTTTTATTATTTTTATGGATTTAAAAATCTATCAATTAATGTTACTAATGTGTTTTGCTGCTCCAACTTATTAGTAAAATTTTATGCAGTTACTTTAATTTATATAGTGACGATAATTTTTAAGCTATAATATTTTTAAAATTTTTATTTCTTAACTGGATATTTTTAATCAATTCTTATTACTTTTGTTTACGAGTATCAACTTAGACTGTTTTTAGATGCTGAGATTATTACTAGTTGTATTGCACGTGCAATACACGTGGTAAAATTTGTATCTTTTATTTAAAATATAATATTATTTATAGAAAGATTTTGCATAAATTTATTAAATGTAAACAATATAACTAAGATATGAACATAAGCTTTAAATTCACAAGGAATGAACAATAAAATTATATTTAGTATGATGTTAATTCTCGAAGTATGGAATCTTGTTATATGTCTCAAGAAGCTTCCTTTGCACTTATGTATAGCAGAATTGAAATCTTTGAAGTATGGTCACTTATAAACAGAATTTTTGGCTACAACACATTAAAAATAGAAATGTATCAATCGATAATGGTGCTTAATTAGGTATTTTCTGTATTTTGCCAATCTCGTAACCATTTTGTTATTTTAAATCATACACAATTAGTATTTGAATATCCAAACAACCATTGTTCCAGATAGCTAATCATATTTGAATATCCAAACGTCTACCATTCCAGATAGCCAATCAGTCTGTTCCTTGAAACTTGTTGTAGTTTCCGCAGTTGAGAGAGTTGTATACAGCACATTTTCAATTCATCAAGCAGGAAATGAAGATGTCATAAGATCAATTCTTTCCTTTTGCCACCTCTAACGCTTTTGAACTGGCAACTCCTTTCGTGCTGGCCTCATTGTTGTCTTCATGTATTCAATGGTGGTAAGTTCTTCAAATTATAGCTGTCAAAACAATCTTAAAAATTCCCATGATATTATAATCAGTAATTGTTGCTTTTGCTTTCTGTCTCAGGTGAACATTTGATAAGAACAGATACAACGGAAGAAACTGAATGATTCTTTATTGCAGTATTTGATAGGAAAAGTGAGGGGAATAAATATGAGGAAGCAAATGAAGAATCACACTATTTGCTTAAAATTCGAAGATGCTATTTTTTCAAATCTTGTGCTGGAAAATAATTGACAGCAATAATCAGCATGATTGGCAGTTAATAGAATTAGTTATTGTATGATGAATGATTCTTAGCGTAAGGGAGATCACCTTAAATCATTGGTCAAATGCAAAAAGCACAAATATTTATTAAGATTCGAGATTGACATTTTTCTATTACTGTGGTGGCTTAATTTTTCTTGTTACGTTTTATGTTCTTGTTGCCTTTACGAGCACCACGGGTGTGTTTACTGGAGCTGCACCAAAAAGAAACATGTATGAGCCTGGAGCCTAGTTGAATTTGTACATATAATTAGGCATTTGATGATTGTGGAAAGTACATTATCATTGTTATGATACTTTTTGAAAATGACATCTAGAATGATTAAATTCACATTTTGTATCCCCGGTTTAGATATCTTGCCTCTTAGAGTTGTCAATTTCATCGTTCCCATTTTTATCATCTTATGGTCAATCTTAAGACTTTAATATTAAAAAGATAATGACCATCATGAAAAAGGACAAATAACTAACATTTCAGGACATAAAATTAGGATATCATATACTACATAATGGAAAATGAAGTACTTTATTAAACCAGAGTATCGTAACTACACAAAGAGGAAAACACATACGGAAATAAGGAGCTGGCTGGTATCCTGATGCTCAAGAAATTGGAGTACTTTATTATCCAATTGAAGCCGGCACTGTGGCATCTAATTCTATCTGCAACTCTGATTAAAATAAAAGGACAAAAGCATTAAAGACCATCATAAGCTATCTAACTAATTCATTAGGATAATATTAAAGATTAGATATATGTACCTCCTGAATTAAGATTTATTTTGAAAGTAACCGCATAAAGAGGCAGTACATGCGTCTTGACATGTGGATAGCAGACTATACTTTGAAGGAGTTTGCTGGTTATCTACACCATAATCAAAATCTCCTGAAATTGGACTTGTTTGTCTTGAGCCGGGAAGTATTGAATCTGTGCTTCCCAAGATGACACGACAGATCACCATATGCATCAGTCCATCTTCAATAATTCGTGCGGAAATAAGGCTACAAAACATTTATCATGAGTGTTAGGTTAATGTAAATACTAAAAGTCGCAAATGCACAATACAAATGGAATTTTTTTTTTTATTTTTCTTTTTCAAATAGCTAATGTCTATAGACAATGGAATAAATTACCATGTTTGCTCATAATAAGTTGTAGGTGACCATCTTGCGAAGTGGAATAACGAATCTTAGAGTTAGAAGAAAAAAAAATACCAAGCTGGACCTTAGTGAATATTATAAGATATTTGTGAGATAATGTGAGATGTGATTAGATATTATTTTATCTCCTACCTATTTTGTAACATCCTTCTAATCTCTATTTAAGACAGATAAAGCGTTATATGGAATAATATCTTTGCCTATTCTATTTCTCTACACAACACATATTTTTTACTGGCATACATTGCTTTTCAATTTTGAACATATTTTTCCTCTTAGACTTCAAACATAATCAATGTATCCAATTACTATTCAAGTCAAAACTTGTATTTAATCATATACATGAACATAATTAATTTTCCAACTCAAGAATAAATTCAGTAAGGCCAGAAAAGACAGTTCAAATACTCATCCTGTAGAAAACTGGCATAAGCAACATCTCATAACAGGCAAGAGCAAGAAACTTTGTGATCCATCTATAGCCTACCCTGAATAAAACTTATCAATAAGAAACACGTGCAAATTTCTATTATTTATACATTACGCTCATAATAATCAAAACAATAAATAAATCTGAGAGTTAAATCTACAAATTAAATCTGAGATACTTGACTACACGGATAAAGATGATGCAATGTAGAAAAACAAGCATTATTTTCACAATTAAATGAAAGATTGCACTTAAAAGAACGTCTTGAGATAAGTGGTGCATATTATGGGTACTTGTCAAGGCTCATGAAGGCCTCAAAGTTCAAAATATACATGAACCTTCTTATACTATATAGTATATAGTAGAGGTGATGAGTTACTGGAGCATTGTTCTATTCATTGCTTGAGTAGGGTCATTTTTTCAACGTTATAGACAAAAGATTAGCATAGATTCTGGTCATGTAAAGATCAACATTTGGATCAGAGATGAAGTCCAGAACATATATACTTTGTTGTATTTGAAACAGTTAAGAAACAAGTAGTTTTACAAAACATTTTCTTACTGTAAAGATCAACAGTAGCATCGGGTTCAATCGCACCACCGAATGATGGCCACCCTGATGCTGTTACAAGAACAGGGATATTTGAAAAATTCATCGCTTGCATAGAAAAGTACGAAGCATCGACCATTGCATCAAACATGTTGGTATATTGAAATAGTGTGTTTGGGTCCACAATTTGATTATTTGGAGTTAGAGACCTAAAAAGAGCATACTCTATAGGAAAGATATCGTTTCCTTTTATGTAAGCGTGATACGGTTGTGCATTTAGCATGTAAGTAGATCCTGTATTCTTCAAGAATTGGAGGAACTTAAACATTATAGAGTCCCATGAAGAATTGAAGGTGGCGGTAGATGGAGGGAAAGATTTGGGTATCATGTCCATGGATTGAGGACTCGAGATTTTCACTTGGTGATTGAGGTTGGCAGCTACAAGAGCAGACTGAAGGAATTCCATTGCTGGAACAAAAACAAGAGCAGCATTTGGGATTGATGTGAGGACTTCATTGCCAACAGCAATATATGTGATGTTAGTTGATGGGAGATATGGGACTATATTTTTGTTGATCCAATCGGCTGCTTCTGTTCTTGATTCTCCTATTTTTAGAAGCTGATTGTTTGGTACACCAACCATTATCTCAATCCAGGTGTTTGCGAGAGCAGTTAGTAATTGATGGTCCGCATCATGTAATCGTACATGTTGTATTTTTTGGTCTTTAAGGATTGATATTATATCTGATGCTGGCGGTATGTTTGAGATATCCAAGCCGATGTTTACTCCTACGAATGCGCCTACACAAGAAAATGAGTGAAATTGGTACTCTTAGAAGTTAGACTGGAAGTATGCATTATGTGAATAAGTCAAGCTCTAAAATGTACATAGACGCAAAGCATTGAAATATTTAAATCATGAAGACGTGAATATGTCTTGAGATAGGACAAGAAATGAGTGCATTCATAAGAGGTTAGATGTTGCTTCTATTGAGCACGACTGAGAAGGTTTGGTGATAAGATTATAGTTAATCGGGACAAAGAGGAATAGAGGTAGACCTTAAATAGCTTGGTTGTGAGCAATTAAGATTATGATAAATGTTAACTTAATGGAGGAGATGGCATGTAATATAACTGAATTTGAAGAATAGATTCATGTAACAGACAAAAAAAAATTGGTATAAAGCATTGAAATAAATTCACTTAAAGGAGGAGATAGACATTTTGATGAAAATTAACTTAACGGAGGAGATGGCATGTAATATAACTGAATTAGATGAATAGATTCATGTAACTGACCACAAAAACTTGGGATAAAGCATTGAAATAAATTCACTTAAAAGGACGAGATAGACATTATGATGAAAATTAACTTAATGGAGGAGACAACAAGACAAACTGTCCCCACAGTTAGAAGTGAAGTTGCATACCTGACACATCTGAGATGAAGAGGCTCGCCAAGTACCTTCTCTGAAGTGTGTAAACCTTTTGAAACTGACAGCACGAAGGTAGTCCAAAAAATCAGTTGACATGTTGAACAAAGTAAGACAATGGTCAGGTATTTTATTTATCTGATACAACAAATTGAAAAAGGGAGATATGTATTTTAGATTAAGTTACATATTACATGACAAACGAACTACAGAAACCTGGACAGCCTTCAAATTGAATCAATGTTTGGAAAATTGCGAGAATAAGCGTGTAGGTAAAGTTGGAACCTGGACAGCCTTCAAATTGAATCAATGTTTGGAAAATTGCGAGAATAAGCGTGTAGGTAAAGTTGGACTTAGCCATGCGAGTCAAGCTAATGTACTTAATATAAACACTGCTGAAAGTAGTAATGAAGACCTTAGCAAAATAGAAGATCAGAAACTCAAGAAATTTTGACTTGAGGAAACAAGAATCGGGTAATGTAAGAACTAAGAACTTCTGTTTATAAAAAATATATATGCTTTGAGAGAATAGATACCCTAACACCCAACATTCGACACTCTTTACCACTAAATAAAACTATTAACCTGGGTTTTCTCAAAAAGAAAGATCATTTAGAAGGAAAACCCAGCAATATTACAATCTCTAACGTATATAAAACCATTTAATATATGTTGTGGTTTCTCTGTTGTTTGCCTAAACTTACAAATCTAGTATACTTATTAACTTTGCCCAAGCTACAACTTCTATCTTGAGAGAACCTAAAGTTACAAACTTTGTATATGGTGTGTAGTTTATCTCAAACACCAGCAGAATTCATTAACATATTGTAACTTATAGACCATTTAAAGCTAAAATTGATACATCAACAAAAAGGCAAGGAATGCCTTAAACCTATGGGTCCAAAGAACATGCATTACCCCCAAATACAAGATACACAACAAATTTTGATTTAAAGATGACATCTTTGAAGCTTAAATCAAAATACAGTGTCAAGACAAGCTATAAATCAAAATTAAAAATGAGTAAAAGAAATTAAATTAAAAAAAGGCGAAGTTGAAGTTCCCCCAAACCTACCCACTTTCACAAAAAACAAACAAAATGGAGCAAAACGCAGAAAGTAATCGACTAAAACATCAACAACCCACATCACAAATGCTTGAAAAAAATAGCAAAAATATTAGAAGAAGAAAAAAAAACCCCACCTGATTCAAGACTCTCTCTTGCAAGAGAAGCCCCAAAACCCTCCAAGATCAAAACTTTAGGAGCTCAAAAGATGAAGCAAGTAAGTGGGAATCTCTCCTGGGTCTCTGAGAACTCCGGAGAAAGAACAAAGGACTGTACGGGAGAGCTAATTAATTTAAAATATTTAGTAGACGGATCATGTGTCACATTACTTTGTAAAGTTCCTAATTTGTAAAGTGCTGCTCCTTAAAGAAATCAGTTACCTTGATGACGAGTCAATGACAGTGGAGGTTTAGTAGCTTGCATTGATCGAAGGCTACTTTATCGATTGCCATAAAGAGGATGTGCTTGATCAAGGACTTGATATCTGTATTGTGCTGAAGGCTCTGAAGAAAGAGGTATAGAATGCCGCTATTCTCTGAATTTTATTTGCTCAGCACACTGGTTAGATGAGTTAACTGCAGATATATTGATTCTATTAATTAACCTTTTATCTATTTAAGATTATATATGATTAGATGTACAAATTTTTGAACTTCATTTTGATATGTACCTGCCATGATTAAAGTTGTAATATCATCCAATCCAGACGATCATTTTTTGGTATGAAACCTAGTAGTAGGCAATCTTCATTGATTATTCTTTTAAAAAACACTGAGAACCTGGACATGTAATAAAATAGATACAAATAAATTTTGACTACTTAAAGAAATAAATTAGAATAAAAATTTTGTAAAATTAGCTACCTTCTCTAAAGAAAGCTATTGTTTCCTCTCAACAGGTTCAGGAAGCTGTGCTTGGTCATCATTTTTCTTGCGGACGACTCATTGACAATATTTTTTATGCAGTATAGATAAGTTAAAAATAGTTGACATGAAAATTTAAATTAATAAATTGAACTATTCTATGAATATGTATTTTGATTCACATAATTAAATGTTAAATTTAAGTTAATAAATGCAATAACAATCAAACCATGCAATAGTTATCAAACAACTATATGAGCATATGCGTATAAATCATAAATTGTCTTAACAAATTAAATTCATCAATTAATAAACTTAAAAGCCTATGAAAAGCACATTTAAAATCCTTTAACCAATTTGTAAATGTAATTAAAATTAAAAAACATTAATGTTTAATTTTTGTTCGCCTTTGATCAATCCTTCTCCACCTTGATCTTCTTTTTTGGTAATTCGAGAAATAAATCATCATCATCAATGTTGATTGTGATGTCCTCTTGGATTTGAATTTCTTGTGCTATTATCTTTCCTTGTGCACGTTCCTCCTTTGACCTCTCATCCAACTTTACAAGGAACTTGTATGTCTTTCCGATATTGAGAACAAACTTTTGAAAGAATGAACTCTGATTTTTTTTCTGTTTTAATGAGGAAAAAATTAAGATCTTATACATGAAATATATTGTTTTATATGTATAAAATATAATAAAGTAAGAATTTACCTCTTTTATATCATCCATGAATTTTTGAGCATCGCATCCTATCAATGTTTCTGCTGCGTCAAAAAGTGTGACTCTTGCATTGTCTATTTCGTCTTCCACTATGATTTTGACAACATATCTACATTTTGTATTATAATTATGCATAAGATGATATTTATATATTTAATCTTTATATTTTTATTTCATGAGTAATTGATAGTACTTTACCTCGGTATACTGTCTTCATTGTTTTTTTGACAATTTTGACATTTGTCATAAATATTTTTGTCAACTTTTTTATTGCAGCCTGTGCATGAGTAGTACCAAGCCTCATGTCTATTTAAGATATTACTTATTTTTCCAATAAAGCTGCCATATTGTGCCTGTACATTTGTAAAAATTTAGTTAGTTATAATTTTAGTTTACAGATATTTAGTAAAAAAAATTATAAATTTTAAAATAATTGAAAAAAAAATATAGTAAATTTTTTTTTTAAAAATTAATGCAAAAGTAATAATTGTAAATGTATTTGAAACATCAATGAAACAATATCTATTTATATTATTTTTTTAAAAACTTAAGCTCTTGATTCATTACTATTTTATAGTAGGAATTTTAATATCATACCTTTGATGATTCTTGTGAAGCTTGCATAATGTCACCAATATTCATTTCCGTTGCATTTTTAAATAGCCTTGACGGAGCATCATTTGTCTTGATGTTCTCTTTTGAAAGAGCCCTGCATATAATTTTAAAAATATTTAAATTTTAATTTATTAAAATACCTTTTTTATTTGAATTACCATTCTCGCATGTCCTTAGCAAGTTGTATATCAGGGTTGATAAATATTGTTGATGCAATTTGCGAAGTCAAGCACAACTCCCCTGCATATATAATAGTTATAATTAGAATTGGATATTTTTTGATAATTAATTTACAATTCAATTTAAAAAATGATACCTTTGTATAATGATATTTTGAAATCTGATAGCGCTATTATAGTTGTCTCATGCTTAGTTCCTTCAATCATTGAGCCTTCATTGACAGCTAAATCTCCGAATAAAGTTACAGACAATGTTATGTCACTGTATAAGAGAAGTTAGACAATTTTAGGTTAATATATTATATTTTGAATAAATAATTTATTGTGAAATAAAAGCATGTGTGTATACTTTTTGTCTACTATAATGATGTCTCGCCTTGTGTCTGCCTTATTATATCTTGTAACGTACTTGATCATAGGCTTGACATTTGCTATCATTGCAAGAACATCTGCACATAAATTTATAATAAGTTGAAAATTCTTTTATAAATTTATAAATTAAAAATAAAAGGTTTTTACAAATACTTACTTATATTCCTTGTATCCTCGTTGGAAATTGCGTCTTTGATTGAGATAAAGTTATTCAATATCTTATCAAATTGAAATTCTGCTTTTGACTCTTTGATAGAAATGTTTTTAGTCAATGTCAACTCAATTGACTCATGTACATTTCCATAAAGCGGGTTTATTGGTTTGACTTCTCCATTTGAGATGTAAAGAACATTATTCTTCTGAAGCATGTGCTTATACATTTCAATAGTTTCTCCAAACATAATACCTTGTATTTTTTCCCCCTGCAAATGTTAGTAATATTATCTCACAAATATCAACAAATATCAATAACCATACCTATGTGGGAAACTTTTAAATAAACATACTCTAGGTTTGATTGAAAGGTATCCATAATATTCGGGTTAAAAAAAATTACATTTTAACTCATCAACAAAACTAACCTTATTTATATAAAGTTACCTGTTATTGAATTAGAATTTCTACTACTTACTAATAAGTCATTTGATCACAAGTAACAAATTTAATCGTTTTTACAGATTAGTTTTTTGTAAAAAATGAATTACATGTTGCTTACCTATTTAATAAATGCAGGAATTTTTTAATATGATTTTATACATAGTAAGGTGATAATAATTAATATAAGAATAAGCATAAACAATTATAAATTAATTAATATTTATAATTTATATTTATAAATTTATAAAAAATTAAGAAGGCTTTGCATAGATTTAAAATAACGATTGCTATGGCATGATAAAAAGTTATGCATATTGTACTTAAAAATTGTATGTATTACTTTATTTAAGAATAAGTATCAACAAATATCAATAGAATTATAGCATGTTGAAATTTGCTACATTACCTCTGAGTCGGCAAAAATTAATTTTAGTAGTTTTCCTGATCCTTTGTTGTTCTCATAAGATGACTCGATAGTTCTTAGGATAACAACAAGAATAGTCCACTCTCTTTGAAATTTTTTAGTTGGCGTATTTGGATGTGTGGAATTGGTGCTTCGTTGGTGGATGCCATCGTTCCTGCAAGATTTTGAATAGTTTATTATTTGTAAATAACAAAGCATTTGAAGTACTAAATAAACTCAAAATAAAATTTAATGGGACTATTTCTATATCAAAGATGTGACACTAATTATAGTAATTTGAATTTATTAATTAATAATTTTATTTACAATGTTTAAAGTAATGTTAATTTTATTTAGTACATGATTTTGAATGAACAGATTGAATGATGTAATAATGAATTGTAACTTTTTTAATTAATTTTAAGGAAAAAACTTTAATAAAAATTGCATCTACTTATTATATAATAAATTCCTAACCTTAAAAAATGTTATTGGTCATTTGAATTATTCCTCGTGGTCCTTTGGCTGGAGAACTTCCTTGTATACAACATTTTTTGTGTATTGTTCCTCTTCTGAAAATTTTCCATCTGATGTTATTAAGACTTTGGTTGTCATCATAGAAGTACCCCGCGATAAAGCAACATATAATTGCCCATGAGAGAACACTGGTTCAGGTAGATAAATACCAACGTTAGGTATTGTTTGCCCTTGGGATTTATTAATTGTCATTGCAAAACATAATCTTATGGGAAATTGTTTGCGTTTGAACTTGAATGGTAATCCTTCATCTTCTGCTGGTGACAATGGTATTCTTGGCAAGAAAACTTCTTTCCCAGCATGTTGGCCCATTGTGATTTTAGCTTGAATTACATTGTAGTTAAAATCTTTACATATCATTCTTGTACCATTGCACAGTCCATTAGTTGGATCCAAGTTCCTTAGTAAAATAATTGGACAATATTTTTTCAACATTAGCTTGTGTGGCGGTAGTCCATTAGGGAGCAGAGTGTTCAAAAATTCTTCTTGGTAATGATGATTAGTGTCATCAACTGCTTCATCAAAGCTATAGAATTCTTTTCCTTCTCCTGGAAACCTTTTTATTAGTCTATCATTTAACATGTCAACATATTCATTTTTTGTTGCAAGGATAGCTCTATCTTTCATATAGTCAATAGACTTGAAATTTTCATCTAAAGATGGAAAAATTGAATTTATGAGAGAATCTTCTGGTAGCTCATCACCTTGATTCTGGATCAACATTGCATTAGGCAGTTTTATGAGATCCTGTGTCATTGTTGGTTCATCTCCATTCCCAATCCTAAGAATAAATTCACTGAATGCTGTGTCTGATTTTGCTCTCATATTTTTGGAAAGTTGTAGTTTGATCATTTTCCTCCATAAATGTGAACTTACCAAACTTTCTTTGATAGTTTGTGATCTTGTTAAGCGAGGCACCACTGGTAAAACTTGTCTGAAATCACCACCAAATACAATAACTTTTCCGCCAAATGGTTCATCTTTATCCATTAAATCTCTTAGTGTTCTATCCAACGTTTCAATTGCAACGCGTTTAGCCATAGCAGCCTCGTCCCAAATTATTAGACGTGCTATTCTAAGGAGTTTTGATGTCCCATCTTGCTTTGATATACCGCACATAGATGAATCTGTTGTTGGGATTTTGATTTTAAATCTGGAGTGTGTTGTTCTTCCACCAGGCATTATTACAGCTGCGACACCTGATGTCACTGTAGCAAGAGCTATCATACCTTGCGATCTTACTGTGGCAAGTAGAGCGCGATATAAATAAGTCTTCCTAGTTCCTCCTGGACCGTCAATAAAGAAAACTCCACTTTTATTTTCTTCAACTCGTGATAATATTGTAGTGAGTTCCTCCTGGACCGTCAATAAAGAAAACTCCACTTTTATTTTCTTCAACTCGTGATAATATTGTAGTGTATGCAGTATGTTGTTCATAGTTGAGTTTCTTTTATTTTCTTCAACTCGTGATAATATTGTAGTGTATGCAGTATGTTGTTCATAGTTGAGTTTTGTTGTAGCATTTAGATCATCAGTTGAGATTTGTACATCTAGCTCTTCTTTTATTTCTCTTGGGTATGAACCTTCCTCTGTAATGATTTTGGCTTGTAAAGGTGGCAAGTCAAAATTTTTAATATCCTTTCCCATGCTCTCTAAGTAGAAGTTAATATTGAGAAGCGTATCATTTATCACCGAAGCTCTAGTAGCATTTGGTTTCCTTGAGAAGTCTTCAGATAATGATTCAATATATTTATCCCACAAATGATTAACATCTGTAGGCTCACAATGAACCAATATAGTTGCAAACAAACGTCGAAGTGCTGTTGGCATTTGGAAGACGATGGCTTCATCTAAGCACTCTCTTATGCTATCATCAGATTCCAAAAGACCTAATTTCTGAGCTGATTGCTTGAAAGATTTAAGTAGATCTTCAAATGATTTCGGACACCTAACGTGAGTAAGCAATAGTCGCAGGTAATATCTCTCTCCTTCAATTGGATTAGCCCCATTTATTCGACCTATCACTTGTATCTGTTTTCTTGGACGCCAAGATTTCGATGTTGAAACCCAAACATAATATTCAGGAAATTCCACATATAATAACTCTTTTTCATGGTCCTTTACATGTTTCTGCTTGTTACCTTCTTTAATTTTTTTACACATAGTAAAAAATTCTGTAAGCATCGTCTTTGAGACATGTTCCAAGTGAATAAATTTGGATAGGTCTTGATGTTTCCAATATGAAACATATTGATGATTTGGCATGTGAAGTTGTAAGTTAATGACAGCCGGGAATATCTCATTAAGATGGAATTCATATATTCTCCAAAAAGCTTCTTGAGCTGATACCCATCTTGCATCTTGAAAATTCTTGATTTCATTCATAACTTTTTCACCTTCATTGTACTCAATGTTTACTGCCACTCTATCATGGCCTTTATATATGTACTTATAAAGGTATTTAACTGCTTTTATGCCTGAGCATATTTCAACATTGATGTGACAGTTATAAGTATAACGTGTCAGCAAATAAGGATTATAAGGTACCACCCATTGATTATTAAGGATTTTGTTTCGAACCAACATTGTTCTGTTATTTTTGCTCCTTTTATAAACTGGGTAAGCATCTTTCGCTTGTAGTGATCTCAGAGAAAACTCTCTAGGGTAGTGATATTTACACTCGCCATTTTGCATGCAAACATTCTTCATATTTAACTCTCCACAAGGGCCATGCATCATATGTTTTTTACCAGTTCATATAGGATTGGATTTTCATACTGGTTTGGAATTTCTGCTGATACGTACTTATCATAATGATCTGATGAGGTGATCTTGTGTTTTCCCATTAGAATAATTAACATGTGTGCATGAGGCAACCCTCTTTTTTGAAACTCGATGACATGAACATGGGCAGCAACTTTTCCAAAGATTTCCTTTTTAAATAGCTGATCTTTCAGGTCTTGCAATTTTCCTCTAAATATCCTTGAGGTTAGATCTGGTCTATCATTATGTGTCTGTCCTGGATGTAGTTCCTCCGTGATTTCTTCCCATTCAGGATTGCATGTCATTGTGATGAAAATATCTGGTTTGCCAAATCGTTGTACTAATGACATTGCATCAAGATATCTACGACGCATATCTCTAGGACCACCAATAAATGATGATGACAGAACTATTCTTCTTCCGACTTGACATGCTTTTGCTTCTCCAGCAGCTACACTATCGACTATGCCTTGGAATAACTCTGCTCTGATTTCTGATTGTTTCTTTCTAAAATAATCAAGTCTTGTTGTTTCAAGCTTTATGTACATATCAACAGCATATTGATGGAACAAACGGCCTGCCGATGTTAATACTGTAGATTGTCGAGTGTCTCTTATCTGGAACTTGTAACAATAATATTCTCCACATGAGACGCTTCCCGTATTTGGTGCTTTAACACCTACAAGTTTGCATGTTAAGTTAATTTTTAATGTTTTAATATTATTAAACAATTTTAATTATGATTTACCTTCCCTTTCTCGTTTAAATATATCTTCTGCAGATGTAAAAGTTTGCTGAGTTACTTGAGATGTTGTATTTACTTGTTTTGACCGGCGAATATCATTTTTATCCCTTCTTTTAATATTTTGGTGCCATCCTACATCTCCGCCTGGAAAGAGTAAAGGATATTGTAAAGGATCATAACAACCAAAATAGTGCTTAACTTGATGATTCTTGCCAGAGTGTGAATGGACAACTATTTCTCTCTCATACGGAACATTATCATTATTTCCCTCTACCCAGACAGCTGCAACCTGATCCACTGTTGGCGAGTTGTAAACACGTTGATCTACTGCAGCATCTCTATTTATAATGATCTTGAAGTCTTCAAGAGATGGAAAATCATTTAGTTTCCGCAGAAATTTTGCATATGGGTTTCCTTCAAATATATCCATCAATCTTTTAGTTGTAGTCGTACTCATGTTTGCATTATCTAATATTCCCATTCGATTTTGCAACTCATTCTCCGTATCGTAAAAGTAAAGTTGAAAGTAGGAAGGCTTATTTTCTTCTGGAATAAGAGAGGGGAGATTATGATAAATTTGTCCTTGTGCTCTAAATGTGAAAATACCCTTTTTGTTTGATGCAAGCTCTCTATCAAACCTTGTCTCAAATGATGTGAATGAGAAAATGCTATTATACTTTCTGGTTTGTCTTCGAAACTCAATTGCCTCTTGGCTTTGTACCGTATAAAGGGCATATAACTCATCATTAACATTCACATCTGCTAGGTGGATTTCACCATTGTGACAACAGGATGTTGGTGGCTCATGTTCAAATTTTTTTGCTCCACAAAATGAACAAGACTTTGGAGTCCGTAATTTATGTAATAAAGAACATACTGGTTCATGTGTAATTTGACCTAGAAAAAAATAATAATTTTTAGTGTTAAATAAATTTAGATATATAAAATCATGTAAATATTTTAATAAATTATAAAAATAATCTATGCAAACCTCCATGCTCATATTCTCGCTGTTGCGCTCCACAAAACAAATCAATCTTACGTTTTCCCTTACTATTGGTACTACTGCCAGCTAAATCATTTCTTTTCCTCTTTATATTATTATCAATGACCTTCTGAATGTAAGTTCTCTTCTGATCAACATTCAACTGATTATATTTGGTGTTTCTACTCTCATGTATTAGAATGTGGTCTTCTGTTAAAAAATAATAAAATATACTATTAATAAACACAAATACACATAAAGCAATAATAATATATATTTATGTTGAATTCAAACCTTGGTTTGAAGTCATTTGGAAGAAGGTACTCTTATGCAAATGTATAGTGATTATGCAATCCAAGTCATATGCTAAGGTTAATTTTTTTTAAGTCATATAATAATAATAATAATAATAAATATTTAAGTGTAGAAGAAGATAAATACAAGGAAATAGAGTTATCATCACTAAGAACAAAATAAAGAGAAAAGAGAAGAAAGTTGCTTAACTAACCTGAATCAACGACAACTTTAGAAATGTTTTAAAAAACAACAAGGCAAATCCAATCAAGTAGGATATCTGCATTAATATGAAAAAATGTTAAATAATTTAATCTACACGTAATAGTGTATTACAAAACTTATATAATTACTCAGAGACAAAACATACATAATTATTCAGAGACAGCATATATAATTTAAAAAAATGAAAAAAATGTTAAATTATTTACGTGAGAATTGCACAACAAGTTTTCACAACATACATAATTACTCAAGGAATAGGTTTTCTCGAGTAATGGCTACAAAACATATTCATATCTTTAATCTATTGTTTATGCAATTGATATTAGATTGTTCAAAACAGAATTGATATACCTAATAACTAATTTAGGGAAATAATTACAACCGAAATCACAACAGGAAAAAAAATTAACTAAACCCTATCATTTGTGTTTCTCCGATTCCAGAACCAAATCAAAGACTACCCATATCTTTCTCATACCCGATTCCAAACCAAATCAAAGAAACAGCGATGTAATTAATTCATAGTTTCCAATCATCCAAGGGAACTACTATGCACGGATCAACTTAAAAAATAGAACCTATGGTTGCATAATTTCCAATCATCCAAGGGTTTGTTCTCCTCTCTAATTCTGAACCAAATCAATAACTTAGAGAACATTTAATGATGTCTGTGTTTTTTTAAACTATAGATCATTTATCAGCAAGGCTCAAATACTTTAGGGTACTTTTATGCTCGAGTTGGAAATAAGGGAAATTTTCTGTGAGAACTCCGTTTCAATTCTGTTAAGTAGCGCATGCTGCATTAGGTAACAGTAGGTCAGTCTGCTATTTCATTTGGTTGCATTATGCAAAAAGACCTTACAAAACTTTCTATGATTATTTTTATCAATTTACTTCACATGGTTCTTAAGGAAAAACAGGGTCAATCAAATTTTATCATTAGTGTAGAACATCCATGAGCTACAAGCTATTACAGTTGTATGGGTTTTTGGCTGAAGGTTAGCTGCAGATGCTTTTGCATTCAAGTTTAGTACTATGGACTTTATGTCCTTGATGATAGAACTGGTGTCATGTTTAAAAAGCTTATGTTTTCTCCTCTCAGAACTGATTTAGTCCTCTCTTTCCTTTCCTTTCCTTTCTTTTAAATAAGGAATATCAATCTTTTGTGGTTCCTGTTAACTTCATAATTGAAGACATTCCTATTTTTTATTTCTTCTACCTCAGGCACATGATTCTTATCTTCTATGCTGTTTTGTCTAATGTTTGTCAATCTACTCAGTCCATCACAGGATGGAAAGTTTTAAGGGAGTAAACCAGCTTGCAGAAAGCAAGACAATTAAATTTTTGACTTCTAACTAACAGACATAAGAATGGATTTAGTTACTATTAGTGTTAAAACTTTTGATTAGTGTTAAAACTTTTGATTATGTTTTCCCTTTAAGTAACTAACTCCTGGCAAACTCTACGTCCTGAATTATCAATTTGAATTATCAGGAGCCTGGCTAACAACAAAAAATTATATACAAACTTTAGGAGCCCCTACGTCCTGAAAAAAGTAAAAATAATGGCCAGTTACAAAACCAAAAGCGAACATAAAATTTTCTCAATTCACTGAAACATATAAAGTAGGCAGTTGCATAAAGTGCCAGTACAATCTTGATAGTAAATCATTACAAATCTCACCTACATAATCAAAAGTTTGTATATAACCCAGGCTAACAACAAAAAACAATGGGCAGTTACAAATAGTATTAAAACTTTTATCAGGAGTCTTGGCTAACAACAAAAAAAGTATATACAAACTTCAGGAGCCCCTACGTCCTAAAAAAAGTAAAAATAAAGGCCAGTAACAAAACCAAGAGCAAACATAAAATTTTCTCAATTCATTGATCATTGATCATTGAAACATATAAAGGAGGCAGTTGCATAAAGTACCAGTACAATCTTGATAGTAAATCATTACAAATCTCACCTACTCAATCATCCAAGGGTTTGTTCTCCTCTCTAATTCTGAACCAAATCAATAACTTAGAGAACATTTAATGATGTCTGAGTTTTTTTAAACTATAGATCATTTATCAGCAAGGCTCAAATACTTTAGGGTACTTTTATGCTCGAGTTGGAAATAAGGGAAATTTTCTGTGAGAACTCCGTTTCAATTCTGTTAAGTAGCGCATGCTGCATTAGGTAACAGTAGGTCAGTCTGCTATTTCATTTGGTTGCATTATGCAAAAATACCTTACAAAACTTTCTATGATTATTTTTATCAATTTACTTCACATGGTTCTTAAAGGAAAAACAGGGTCAATCAAATTTTATCATTAGTGTAGAACATCCATTAGCTACAAGCTATTACAGTTGTATGGATTTTTGGCTGAAGGTTAGCTGCAGATGCTTTTGCATTCAAGTTTAGTACTCTAGACTTTATGTCCTTGATGATAGAACTGGTGTCATGTTTAAAAAGCTTATGTTTTCTCCTCTCGGAACTGATTTAGTCCTCTCTTTCCTTTCCTTTCCTTTCTTTTAAATAAGGAATATCAATCTTTTGTGGTTCCTGTTAACTTCATAATTGAAGACATTCCTATTTTTTATTTCTTCTACCTCAGGCACATGATTCTTATCTTCTATGCTGTTTTGTCTAATCTTTGTCAATCTACTCAGTCTATCACAGGATGGAAAGTTTTAAGGGAGTAAACCAGCTTGCAGAAAGCAAGACAATAAAATTTTTGACTTCTAACTAACAGACATAAGAATGGATTTAGTTACTATTATTGTTAAAACTTTTGATTATGTAGGTGAGATTTGTAATGATTTACTATCAAGATTGTACTGGTACTTTATATATTATAATATAAATGATGCTCACATTAAAAAAAATCAAACAATCTCTTTTCAGACCCAAAAAAAATCCAAATCACGTCTATATCAATCTTAAAACTTTTTCCCTGTCATATTTCCTTATTAGACCCGATTTCTCCTCTCATCACTCCTTCAGAACTCTCTTAACTATTCCTGTACTCTTTTCAACTCACCATTTTATGCCCAAATTTATATCTAATTATTTTATGGCATTCACATGCACAGAGAGAACTATGAAGGTTAGTATTCTGTCATCTCATAAACATTCCTTGGTCCTCTTTAATTAATTTTTTCAAGTGGATTTCTTCAAAAAGAGTTATTGATGGTCGCTCTTCTTTTAGCACTTTTGGGTATATGATCTTGTATGTGAGTGAATATTTAGTGGTTTTTGTGTGTTATGTTCCTGCTTTTGATTTCATAGCTGATGTGATTTCATAACTGATGCTTATATATATTTTCTCAAAGAGAAAATAATTGATGTCTATATGTTCAATTTAATACTGAACTCAGTTATTTACTACCATTGATATTCATAATGAAAGAAAGGTCACACATGTTCTTCCACCATGAGAATTCTCTATCAGACTCAGCAATTGACTATTCAAAACCTCAAAATTTAAAAAAAAAACCCATATTTCCCAACCTTCAGAGCTTTCATATCAAACACCATAACAAGAAATCAATACCCAAACACATATAAGATACAAAATAAGTTATAACTGGAAAACATAACTAATTTAGGAAATAAATCACTACCAAATTAAAAATCTGAAAATTTAAATAACTCAACTCAACTCAACTTACTTTATAATGTCGATCCAGCTGCTGTTGGAATTTTTAAACTCTTGTCGCTTGAAACTGTAGGAAATCGAAAATTAGTGCAAATTTTAGAAGAAAATTAGAGGACTGAAGAAGTAAAAGGGGATAGTTAGAGTTAGGGTTTTGTATAAAGGAGTGAAGATGAATAAGAAATACCTTACTGAATCCCCAATTGCAGAAATCTTTGGAGATGAATGCGGAAATTCTGAAGAAATAGTAATTTGTGCAGATTTCTGTAATGCTTTGGCTTCTACGGAGATGGTTATCCAACGAATAATCCACATCTTTGCAAATTCCTGTAACGCTTCGGCTTCGTCGGAGAAGGATAATCGACGATCTCTTCTCCTTCGGCGGAGAGGAAGACGTAACGGAGGCGGAAATTGACGAAGCTGGCGACGAATTTAATGTAACGATTTAATGGGAGAAATTGGGTATATTTAAGATGGTTGAAGGTTAATTTCGGGATGAGAAAGTTTTTCAGGAACTGGCTCGTGTGTTTCATTATTTTTGTAGAATGCTGACAAAAAAAAGTATAAGGTTGCGGTTGAATGAATGTATAGTGTGTATATGAATGTAGAAAAGAGAAGATACTAAACAATATGAGCACACCTTGGAATTCTGTGTAGGTAGTTTTGTGAATCTACAGTTGGTGACACTTGAGGTGAAAGATAGATTGTGAAACCCTTAATATGAGATAATCAATAAATTAACGAAAGAGCAAAGTTTTTTTTGAGATAAATAAGGAAGTACTTCAGGCTGTTACTATTAACAAATGTGGTTGTACAACATGTACGTAGTCACCCGTATTCCCAACTTTCAAAAAAGGAAAACATTCATATTAATAATACTTTTTAAATCTTTTGTCACTCATCTTTACCAGAAAGCCATAGTTCTTTTCTTTGCATTAGATGTGACACTTAATATCTCATTGTAATATGTTTGTACAAGCTTTTCCATTGAGCAATTAAGTAAGGTTTGTTCCTCATCAGACATTATAACATAGCTTAAAAAATAATAACTAAAACTAATTTATTTACGAACATAGTTATTTGATGAATTTTATTTTCATTAGCGTATAGCTTTTGTGGATAATTGAAATAGAAAAAATATTAAGCTATTTATATTAAGTAACACTATTTAGAAATTAATAGTATGCAGAAAAGTTACTAATTAGCATATACGAAAATAAAAATCATTAAGTTCAAGGGAAAACCCATTGCAAATAAATTTGATTACTATATTGGCAATTATTTAATCCCCAACACAACAATCCCGTATGAACCAAATAAATACAATAAAATTACAATAAATTTAAAGCATCTAACATTTTAGTTTAATTTTTATAGAAGCATTCCAAATTTCATTAAATTTAATTTTTCTAACAATTTGGTTCGGTCTTCATTTTCTTTCATTTTCTTCTTAATCTCCATTAACCCTCTCTTTGTTGGACTCTCAATTTTACTACTTTTTGCTGCGATAATCATAGTATGAAAATATCTCCCTTCAAGTATTTATTGAGTTATGATACACTTTGCTTTCCAAATTCAATTAAGCTATCTTCATCTTTGTGCACCTATACAACGTCAATAGTCAATCAACTAATGTATGAATTATGTACTATATCCGTTTTAAGATTTCTTTAAAAATATATCTTTATATGCCGATTTAAATAAAAAATTGTTTTCGCCCATGTTCAGAATAACAATCACAAATATCAAAGTATATCAACATAAGGGTGCAATATCATCATAACCTTTAGGGTTAATTTCACAAACTCCCTTAATCTTTGGATGCTTTTCAACATAACCCTAAACCCCCTTGAACTTAACATTTTCTTATTGGACTTCACTAAGCATAAGGTACACATAACTAAAATATCATTAAGAGAATTTTTTTTGAAAGTTGTCATTTGTCATTTATAGGCATCAGTACTCCTCTCCTCAATTTTGGGTTTTTTCCTTTGAAGAAATCATGTAGGGAGGGTCCACTGAGAAAAACTTAAATTTTAGGGTAGTTTCGTAAGACACCCCAAATTTCAAGGAGTGTTGTTTGAGATAAACAAAGTCTATGGGGGTTATATGGAAAAGGCTCAAAGTTCTTAGGGTTATGTAAAACCCTTAATCTTTAATCATCAACAATAAGATTATGAGATTAGTAGCATAAAGAATTGAAAATCTGATAAAGGCATCTTCATAGTATTATATGAGAATTAATTTATCTAGATAGCGTGACACCGTGAAAAGTGCATGAGCTTTATTGCTCTATTTTTTAAAGAAGAAAATAAGATTCTTTGAATTTATTCTTCATGAAACTTTACTTTGAAGCATCACCAATTTTAAAGTGTCTAAAGCACACATTGTTCCTAGAATGAGGAAAAAACAATTTTATCTCATCGATAAACAAATAAATTGTATAACTATAAAACTATAATTTCCAAATCAGATTAATAGTTACAAAAAGATATTGAAAGAAATGAAATTTAGATGCTGACGCAGCGCGGAAGTTGTAACATCGGAATCCACCAAGGGTATTCTCTGAATCCACAAAGAACGCTATAAGAAATTACATCTTTAACGAAGGGATTTCCCTTCGTTAAAGAGATGAAAACCTTCGTTATTGTATGATAACGACGGGGAAAAATCCCTTCGTCATCCGTCGTTGAAGCTCTCTTCGCTAAAGGATCATGAAGGAATATACTACCCGTCGTTATAGAGTCTATAACGACGGAACATATTACTGTCGTTAATATTTACGACGATAATTATCACCGTCATTACTATCAGTGACGGGGATATTTTCCCGTCGTTACCATCAGTGACGGGATATTTTTTCGTCGTTACCCATCAGTTACGGGGATATTATCCCGTCGTTATCATTAGTTAACGGGGATATTTTCCCGTCATTGAAGACTAATTAATAACAGTTGAATATCGTCATAAAAGTCCTCATAATGGGTAATTAGTAACCCTTTAACGATGGTGCTTTCCCTTCGTTGATGAACAAAATGCAGTTTATAAAACCATCATTGTAGACTACAAATTTCTAATATACATTAATAATAATTTTCCATTCATAGGCAACTATCATATTATTCTCAACCTGACACTAAGATTCACAACAAAAATATATTAAAAATACCCAATAATGAATAAAGGGGAAAATAAAAATTTTATTCATTAATAACATCAATAAATAAAATTCCATCATCCTCAAATATTCAATACTAATAACAAGAGTTAGTATCCTAGTTATTCCAAAAAAAAATACATGAAACTATCTATAACAAATTAAAATAAAAGTTTGGGGAAGACACATTCTTTCATCTCTAATCATCGTCAAAAGAAGTCTCGAGCTATCCCACCTCTCCTAATCTTGCATGGATAGCCTAAAAATTTTAAAAAAAATATCACATAATTAAGAAATAACAATTAAGCAAATATTATCTTATTAAGTAAAATTCATATTTTTTAATGCAAGTAGTCAATCATAAAAGTATATAAGAGATTTTACAAAAAATAATTACCTAGTCATGCACATGTTCTCGAGTTTGAGGAGTCAATGTGGGTGACCAACAAGAAATGGTAGGCTCAAAATAGGAAGAATGAAAGATACGCCAAATGCATCAATCGCAAGTAAAAGACATTGACGAATGATGTTAAAATGTTCAAACCTGAAGAACACAAAGGATATAGTCATATAATTTCATCATCGCTAAATGTAAATTGAAGACCATTAGTCTTCAGGTAGGGAGCATAAAACTTAGTTTAAATTAGACATTTTATAGACAACAAAGGATCCAGTAACCAAAAATTATATAATGTTCAAGCTTTTATGTAGTTCAACAATGGGAAATAGGACAACTCACCCGATAAATGCTGCACCATAACGCAGACCATCAAAAGCACACACGCAAAACATATATGATGAAATAGCGTAGTATATATATACGTGTAAATATATATAGTTGAATGCAGAAACATATTGCGACTGTATGTGTATAACAAAGATGTATACAAACTACAAGAAGATTAACTAACTTTAATTCTGGAAATGTACTTTACAAGAAGTGGCCTAGAGCCTATTCAACTGATACAATCTCTAAAAAGTAAAATGTTTACTTAAAAAGATAGCAAAGTTACCAGTGCCCAGTGTAAAAAAATAAACAAACTGCAAGAAGGCTCCACTGTGTTATGTTGACGGGATCTGTGAAGAACACTCCAGAATTGCCCTTTGTGATGTCTCTCCCTGTAGCTGGTTCTGTGACTTTATGGATACACCATGCAGGCCAAATGATAAGGGAAATTATCATGCCATAATTTTCCATGTTTTAATTATGGTTCACAATATTATCTATTGCATTAAACACGTTGATTTTGGTCAAACTGCTTAAAACCTGAATTACTAAACATGAATTAGACCAAATTCATTAAAAAACCTGAACCCTAAAGTTCAGGTCAAGCTCACAGTTCTAGGAAGAGATTCACCTGATTCTCATTCTAATAATTTGAATATATAAAAACTATACCTGTGAACCCTTCTTAAACTTCTCTTCTGGAACCTCAGGCAACATGTGTGGAGAAAACTTGCCTGTTCCATGTGGACCAGGATCCTTGAAACTGCCAATAAAGTCGAAATAACAAGAAAAATTGCAAATCAATGACTTGCTCAATCAAGAAAATTATTGCAAGGGAAATAGTAGATTGAATGATTGTGGTTGCTGTTTACATTAGAGGCTTCAGCAAATAGGAGCATACCAGTTAGCATCAAACTACAAGAAACAAAATAAACAAAAATTCTATACGGGAAAATGAAGCTTACCAATCGATAAAGCTGACATTTGTTTCCATCAGATAGCTATATACATAGTCAAAATTATGCAATGGTACATAGCTGTAATGCAGAAAGTCAAAATTAAGCATATCTTACATTGCTATAAAAAATAATTCTTCAGAAAGAAAGAAAAAAAAATCGGAAACTAAGTTGAGAGTAAATGAAGGGTTAAGTACCTTCTCACTGTGAATATCTCGACCCACAAATAAGCGAAACTAAGTTGAGAGTAAATGAAGGGTTAAGTACCTTCTCACTGTGAATATCTCGACCCACAAATAAGCGACTCACATGGACTGGTTTTTCCCGGGTTAAGTACCTTCTCACTGTGAATATCTCGACCCACAAATAAGCGACTCACATGGACTGGTTTTTCCCGTGATGCATGTACATAAATGGAGTATCTGCACTCGTTTCCCTGCAAATATATACTTAAGAAATATAAAATCTAATAGTTCATGGAATCCTATCAGAATTAATTTTCTAGGAAAAAGAAATGGTATTAAGAAATTTTTTAATTTCTAATTATACTTAGTTGGATGTTTAGATAAGTCAGTAAGTATATAACATATTCACATACATGAATACTCAGATACTTCATGGATCTTTCCCATACATATATATAACATATTCACAAACATACTAGATACGTGTTGTTATCAAAATAACATGTCAAATATTTACTAGAGATGTATTTGGGTCGAAATAGTTAGACATCAAATACATGAATTCTAGGCTTCATTTGACTTGTAGAAGCATTTATGTAAACTGTCACTTGCTTGACTTCAAAAATTGTTCACTGTCCAAACTAAAATTCATTAATTTTCACACATAATTTATTTAGTACCATATCCATGATCCAAGATGTTAAGAACTTTTGTATGTTTACATGTATTTATTGCATTCTTACGCATAAAACATATTCTTTCATATTCCATACATGCATTGTTTCTCCCTTTTTATTTAGAAAATTTTTAAATTTATCAACCTCTCGAAGCATAAAATGGCCATTATAAGTTTCCAAAACCCACACAAAATTTTGATATTTGTGCAGACTTTAACGTGTAACTAGGGATTCATGTCATTCTATTGCTCTGGATAAATATTCACCACATTACTTTCTGAGACCCAGTGTACTACTATGAGAATATAACTTAGAACATTTCCTATCATGCAGAACTTTATACATCTCCGACAAGGAAGAGTAGAAGAACACTTATACATCACAAAATGCCACCACGAATAGAATAAAGATTGGAAAGATCTCAAACAATTCAATCAAAATAGGGTGATCTTTATCAATAGGAAGAATGCTTAGGAAATGGAAACTCAAAATCACCAAGCGAATAAGAAATTTATCAATAGGAAGAATGCTTAGGAAATGGAAACTCAAAATCACCAAGCGAATAAGAAAAATAAAATTTCAAAGATCATACCAAAATCACCAAGCGAATAAGAAAAATAAAATTTCAAAGATCATACCTGACCCTTAGCATTGAGACTGATGGAGGCCGAGAGGCAGCCATTGTTGAGGGGATTCTGGTCGTCGTCAAAAAGGGAGGAGCAGTCGGCGGGCGTCGAAGAGGAAGGAGGAATGCAGAGTTTGCCCTAATCGCTCATACCCTAATGGGAGTCTGGCAACAGAAGAGAAGGAGCTAGTGGTAGGAGGTCGATCTCGGGGCAATGAGCAAAGAGGAGGACCAAGCGGCGGTGGATTTGTTACGATTTTGGGGAGGACGAATTATTTTGGGGGAAAACAAAAATATTTGAGGGGTGGAAATCCTTCATTGATTAGTAGATTTCACAATTGAGATGATGAGGAGTGGGAACCGACGACGAGCAGGAGAGAAACGATTTTGTGATGGAGGCGGCGATGATCAGGGGAACGATGATTTTTTTTATTTTAACTAGGGTTTAATTAATTGCTACAGTTAGAGGATGATTAGGAGTTGTGCGGTATTTTGGATTTTGGGTTCTAATTGGGGCTTCGGGTTTGGTTGTGGGGTTTGTTAAAAGTAATAGGTCAATTTGAGTCCAATTATGATTAGGAGTCTTATCAATGAAGGTAATGGACCCCCTTCATCTTTAAGAAGACCTAATAACAACGGTATTAGGATCAAATCAATGAAGGGACTAGAAATCCGTTATCCCATCTCACATCATTTCTCTAATATTTATAATCATTCGACGAAGGTTTTAAAACCCGTCGTTATTATATGCACATTAATGACAGTCAACTGGTCCCTTCATTATATTTGGTCGTTAAATACCAGATTTCTTGTAGTTATACGTACGATCTTCGAATCCACGAAGAACTTCGAATCCACGAAGAAAATATTAAAAAGAGAAATTTTATTGATAAAAAGTTATTCTCCTTTGGGGTTACATGACTCTTCTTAAATAGAAAAACAAATAATACTCCTAGTAAGACTAGAATTACAAAAATAGAAAGTATCAAATAAGACTCTTGGTAAGACTAATATTACAAAAAAAAAAAGTGTCAAATTCTATCCTAAAAGGACTCCTTATAATAGAGGAAATAAATCATGAATCAAAATTGATTTTGTTTCCTAATCTAATCTGACTCTAAAATTGAATTTATTTCCTAATCTATATTTCCTAATCTAAATAGACTCCAACTCAGATTAAGCATCCTACATCAGTCTCCCCTTATTGAAAGAAGCTCGACCCTGAGCTTATATTTGTTAGAATAGTAGCTTCATTGATAGATAATTTTCTTCTCTTACAACGATCAGCATCTACCTTGTACTTAGCATTGATTTTCTTCATCTGTTGTTTTGCCTCTTCAGCTAGGACTTCTTCTGACTCAAATTCTTGAATAAATCTTTCACACACCATGGTTACGTGTCTGACAGCATGTGGATCTACAATTGACTTGAAAAGCTCCTCAAAATATGTTCCATGTTGCTTCTTATATTCTAGTACTGAAAGTATCATCACCTTGAAATTATTAACAATCTTTGCTTCCAGAGAAGAGAAACTCGCGTCATACTCCATACACAATTCTTTCATCTCCTTTATCTCTAGCCCTCCACCAAGCAATTCACACATACCATCAATTGCATCACTCTCTATTTTATCCTTCTCCTCTATCGGGACAACATCAATATGTGCAACATCACTCTCAACCACTTTAAGAATATCATGTGTATCATCCATCTTCACTATCATATCACCATCATGAATCTCATGCATATCAAGTGTTTGCTCCTTAGGAGGAATTTCGGTAGAGGCAGATTCTTCTTTTTCAGTTACAATCAAGTCACAGACTTCTTCAGATTGATTCAAGTTTTCTTCTAAAGCATCGTTGTTTGTCACCAAGAGTTCCTTCTTCTCAGTAGTCTTTATCTTAGGTGGCTCCTTTTCTGTAAGAGACTTGAGCACAATTCGTCGTCCATCTTTCCTGAAGATATAAACATTGTCTTTGCTCATATGGGTAGCTCTATTATTGAATTGCCATGGCCTACCTAAAAGTATATGACAAGTATCCATCTCGACCACATTGCACAACACATCATCAAAATAAGTTCGGCCAATGGAAAAACGTACCCGACACTTCTCATTGTTCTGCACAACATTGTTCATGCTAATCTAGTCGATCATGTAGAGAGGTGGGTGTTTCTTTATCTTCAGTCCTAACTTCTCCACCATACACCGAGAGACAAGATTCTTGCTGCTGTGGTGATCAATTATAACATTACAAATCTTCTGCATCACGGTGCATCTCGTGCGAAAGATATTTTACTCCGGAGATGGTTCTTCTTTCTTTATTGCTTCTTTACTGCTCTTCTCAACTATAATGTCTTGCTTAAGATCATTGTCCTTGCTGAATTTATCATATGGAGTCGGATCATGTCGTTGGCGACCATCAACGCGATTTCGAACTCCTGTCGCGTTAAGATGCTCTTCTATCGACGCAAGTCGCTCAAAAATAGTCTTCATCTGATTAAAATCGGCCTTCGGCACGTCTAACTCAGTTCGAGAGTAAGGGGCTTCATCACCTGCCATCGGATCGGAGGAACAAGGCTCTGATACCAATTGACACAACGCGAAAGTTGTAACCTCGGAATTCACTAAGGGTGTTCTCTAAATCCACAAAGAACGATCTTCGAATCCACGAAGAACTTCGAATCCACGAAGAAAATATTGAAAAGAGAAGTTTTATTGATGAAAAGTTATTCTTCTTTGGGGTTACATGACTCTTCTTAAATAGAAAAACAAATAAGACTCCTAGTAAGACTAGAATTATAAAAATAGAAAGTATCAAATAAGACTCCTAGTAAGACTAATATTACAAAAAAAAGTATCAAATTCTATCCTAAAAAGACTCCTTATAATAGAGGAAACAAATCATGAATCAAAATTGATTTTGTTTCCTAATCTAATCTGACTCTAAAATTGAATTTATTTCCTAATCTATATTTCCTAATCTAAATAGACTCCAACTCAGATTAAGCATCCTACATCACATGCTTATCCGAGAGTAGGCTTCTCCTTCGACTTGCACTATCCACATTGTTCTTGGAATGGGGAAAAAATAATTTTATCTCATCGATAAACAGATAAATTGCATAATTACAAAATTATAATTTCCAAGTCACACTAATAATTACAAAAATATATTGAAAGAAATGATGGGATCTCCAATTTTTATATCCCATCATTTCTCTCTAAAAAAAAGTAAATCGGCTTAAGATGAAAAAAAATGCTTACTTAGCTAAGTGTAAATCATTTTCTCACCTCTTTCGTTTTTCCAATTAATCAGATTTTTGTTGGTTTTTTTTTGAACATATCCATCTAGTGGGACTTATCTAGAGACGTGATGAGCTAATATTTATTGCTTTATAATAGTAAAGATAAAGAAGGAGTTGAATAGCTAAAAAGAAAGATAAACAGCCAAGAGAACTAATTAGCTACAAGTGTTCAAACATATGATAAATTGTATGGATTATTATAATATAGATAAATTGTATGGATTATTATAATATAGTTATTATATTTAATTTGGAGTTATGTGAGCTTTTAACTCTGCCCATTAAATAAGAAGTTAAATAACATACTACAACATTTATACTAATAATGTATAGATTTATTTTTCAAATTGAAAAAAGTAAACTATAGTTAATATATTAACTTTATAAATGAGTATTTTATCAATTAAATAATATTTTATAATTCCATTAGTTTTAACTAAATTTGAGGGTGTATTTATTACATTTAATTTTATTTAATTGAGGGTTATGAAAGAGATTTGAAGGAGTATGATTTACGATGTATGTATGATTTTTGTTTATGCATGCATGAGTTTTATGTATGCATGTATACATTTTAGGTATGCGCATATGTGTGTATGTGTTATGCATATGCATGCATGTGTTTTATTAGTATGCATACATTTTAGAGGGTATATTCAGAAGAAATATTTTAACGTACCAACACACTTTTATAATAGTATTAGATTTATACTTTTCTTTCTCTCTAGTAATATTTTTTTCTCACTCACTCACAAAAATATTAAATAATGTCAAAGCTTTCTCCCAAGAGATATTTTTTAATTCAATCGCAGATATACTGGAATAATATCAAAGATTTTTACCAAACTAATTGTAGTGGGTACAACCTTGATTCAAAAGTTAGATTTAATTGGGCAATAATTAGACCGTAGTTAAACTAGTTTCTTTAGTTCAAATTCTAGTTTTTAAACTAGTTTTCTTTTGAACCAATTCTTACTTGGACTAGCGCCGATCTAATTAAAAGAAAACCAGACCTAACTTAGGTTCCTTTTTTAGTTGCTAAAAAGAGACTTATGTACAACTAGTACAAGTAGTGGGTTCGGATGCTCTACAATCTTAATTATAGAGAATGCTTGCAAGTAGTTAAGTGGATTAATACTATTGACTTGTCTTACTAGGTCTCACAATTAAAAATATTTTATATTATTTAGATAATTAATATTATTTATAGGGTCTAGTAAATAAAAAGTTTTGATTAATGGCTTGATGAGTTGTAGGTAATATCTATAATCAAGAAGAATGTGGAGGTACTCTACCCAAAGTGGTGGCAACTAATTCAGTCCACGTTAGATCCAATATGAGTAATGATAAAGATCCATCAATTTTCTTTAGCCCCTGATAATAGACCGTTCCTCAAAAAAAAAAAAGGTATAGCCTATAACTGTAAGGATTCATATTAGGGGCTATTTGTTTGGCCCAAAAAACGTTGAAAACAAAGAAATGAAACCTGACATGGGTGCCAGGTAGGATTTTGGTTTCAAATAATTTCCATTTCTTATGTTTGGTTCGCCGTCGGTTTTTGAGAAATGGGGTTGTGAAATGGGGGTCCACGTCACTTTTTTCGGAAATGTGTTTTCAGCTCATTTTGGGCTGAAAACAGGTGGAAATGTCCCTTCGGTGAATATTTAATCCATCGGACACAAGATACGAAGCGGCGTTATTGAAGAGAGTTTCCACTTTTTCCTTCCTTCGTCGTTAGCCTCACCGCCATTGACTGCTCTTCTTCTTCCTCTCTGTTTCACCATTGCTCCGTTCTATTTTTTTTTTCATTTTTTCCGCAAGTTAATTTCTAAGAAAACCCTGGCTCTGAAGATGGGCGGCGCCCGGAAGTACTCGCCGTAGATTTGGGCCTGTTGGCTGGGAAGTTCCTCTAGAGCTGAACCTTGATTGTTGCCTGTTATTAGGGTGTCGCCCGCCGCAATCATCTCGAGGTTCGATTTCTTTTCCTCAGGTCGATTTCCTTTGTAGCAAAAGCAGTAGGCAAAATATTTTGTGCATGCATGTGACTTCTGATTTGGACTTTGACTGTGAAGATGAAAGCTGGTTTTTGAAGCTGATAGTTGGTTAAGATCTTAACATTTGAGGGCCAAAAGCAGTGTTTTTCCGTATTTTTCATGGCAAGAATTTTTTCTAAAATTTAATTAACTTGTAAATTAGGGGTTTGTTGCTTCTAGAGTAGATCTGCATTTTCTGCCAATTGGGGGTTTAATTTTGTAGTAGATGTTCATGTTGTTGCATTTCTGTAAAATGTTTGCTTCATCTTGCGGGGCCGATTCATGACTATTTTTGTTATTATCCCTCGGTAAATAACATGCGCCTGTAGATTAGCTTTCTTGAGCGAGCTATTTTCCATCTCATTTATTTTTATAGCTTGTGAAATAAGCAGGCTTGGGTATTCATTTTAACTGTGGAGAAATTTTTGGGTCGTGGATGTAAATAACATGCGCCTGTAGATTAAATAGCTATTTTCCATCTCATCTATTTTTATAGCTTTGCTTCATATCTTTTTTATCAGGTTGTTTTCCTTTGTAGCATAAACAGTAGGAGAAATATTTGGTGCGTGCATGTGATTTCTGGTATTTACTTTGACTGTGAAGATGAAAGTTTGTTTTTGAAGCTGATAGTTGGTTTTTATTAGTAGATCTTAACACCTGAGGTCCGAAAGAAAGCTATTTATCGTTTTGTTGGTGCCACAACTGTTTTTGGTTAAATCATATTAAATCTATAATTTAGGCATTAGTTTCTACAATAGTAGATCCATATTTTCTCTAATTTGGGGGTTTATTTTTGTAGTAGATCTTGTTATTGCATCATATTTAATCATATTTAATCTCTAATTTAGCCATATTTAATCTGTAATTTAGCCATATTTAATCATGTTGTTGCATTTTCGAAAACTAGGGGCTTCATAATGAAGGGCTAATTCTTGTCTGTTTCTGCTCTTATCCCCTAGTAACTAACATGCGCGCATAGATTAGGTTTGTTAAGCGAGCTAATATTAAAGCAGGGCTAGAAAGGATATTATGAAGTTAATAGCACTACTAGAAGCATATCTTGTAGCTGTTTATTTAGTATCTTTTTGGGTTTTTATGTATAATTCTAATTTCTAAGCAATACTGTATAGATGGATGGTGATTATGTTGATGAAGAGAGCGTTATAAGAATGTGCGCTGCGCCTGCATTTTCTGTCATTGTTCTAGTAGTTACATTTTTGAGGAGAATGAGGTCTCGCCGTAGAACGCTACGATCTGGACGGAGTGTAGAAAGACTAAGGCATGAAAAAACTAGGGCAGAGTTAATGAGTCCTATCTATCACGGTTATAGTGATAGTTGTCAAAACTTTGTTAGGATGCGAATGGGTGCTTTTCTTAAACAAGCAAAGACTATAAGGACAAATCATCTCCTAGAGGACTCAAGATTTATAACTGTGGAGGAGCAGCTTGCTATAACGTTGAATATTTTGGGTCATAAATCAAAAAATCGTATGATGAGAACACAATTTATACGATCAGGGGAGACAGTTAGTAGATACTTCAACAGAGTATTGCAAGCAATTTCGTGCATACAAGGCCGATATATGAAATAAGCACCAAATGAGGTGCCTTAGGAGATCCAAAACAATCCATCTTTCTATCCTTTTTTCAAGGTATAACAACCACTCTACCTACTAGCGCAAATGAATCTCTTAACTACTTAATCATTACATTAACATAGCAACTTGAATTCTATAGGATTGCATAGGTATGATAGATGGAACACATGTGGATGCTATGCTACCTGCCTCACTTGTTG